CCTTCCTTCCTTCCTTCCTTCCTTCCTTCCTTCCTTCCTTCCTTCCTCTCTTATTCCCTTTCTCATTCTCTTTCCCGGTGGCACCGTGGTTCCTTTCTTCCTAGTTAGAATGCAGTATTGCAGGCTGACTGCCCACTGCCACGAGTTCAATCCTGACCAGCTCAAGGTTGACTTCCGAAGTAGGTAAAATGAGGACCCAGGTTGTTGAGGGAAAATATGCTGACTCTGTAAACTGCTTCGAGAGGGCTGTAAAAGCACCGTGAAGCGGTATAGAAGTCTTAGTGCTATTGCTATTGGGTGCTCCTTGGGGTCCGGAGAAAAGGGAAGGCGACCACTGATTTCGATGATCCTGGTCTTTCCAAAATACTGTAGAGGTAGTCCTCGACTTACGACCACATTTGAGCCCAAAGTTCCCATTGCTAAGCAAGAGAGCTGTTAAGTGGATTTTGTCCCATTTTACGACCTTTCTTTGCCACAGCTGTTAAGCGAATCGTTGCCGTTGTTAAAGTCAGTGACACAGTTGTGAAGTGAACCGGGCTTCCCCGTTGATTGTGCTTGTCAGGTCGCAAAGGAGGGAATCACATGACTCAGGGGCCCTGCAGCTGTCATAAGTACGAGTCCGTGGCCAAGCCTCTGAATTTTGCTCCTGTGTCCATAGGGATGCTGCAAAGGTCATAAATGTGGAAAACGGTCCTAAGTTGTTGTTTTTTTTCACTGTCAACAACTTTGAATGGTTCACCCAATGGATGGTCGTAAGACAAGGACTACCTGTAGTTGGGGAGGTTGGAGGGAACGTAGATGTTTTTGCTTGATAAGACAATAGCTAGATAGTTTGGGAATGAGAGCCTCCCCCTTAAGGGAATGCTTCATGGGAAATGTAGTAAATACCTCATGGGAAATGTAGTTCACGTCACATGGTCACATCTGTAATCCTGATTGGTCACTGATTTGATCTCTCATTGGGCTGGGGGAGTTTTTTCGGGCATTCTTACCTGGACCATTGAATGGGAGTTTTCCTTTGCTATAACGCTGTGGGATCAAATCCCAGTGCAATTTGATTGCTTATTGTACCCTGTGACTATCATTAAATATTGGACCTGATGATTCTTGACTCTTGACAAATGTGTCTTCTCTTTTATGTACACTGAGACCATTTGCACCAAGACAAATTCCTTGTGTGTCCTATCACACTTGGCCAATAAAGAATTCTATTCTATTATTAGTTACATATTTATACATAATTATACATAGTTTTATGCTCATTCATACCATATTATTTCATCTCACCATAACCTTTCATTCACTGAGGACCTGCACGAGTCAAAAAGAGGGCTGTGAAAATATTTACAGACCCCTCACATCCCGGACATAAACTGTTCAACTCCTATCCTCAAAACGACACTATAGAGCCCTGCACACCAGAACAACTAGACATAAGGACAGTTTTTTCCCCCATGCCATCCCTCTGCTAAACAAATAATTCCCTCAACACTGTCCAACTATTTACAAACTCTGCACTGCTATTGCTGTTAATCTTCTCATCACTCCTTATCACCCATCCCCTCCCACTTGTGACTGTATGACTAACTCTGTCGCTTGTATCCTTACGATTTATATTGATTGCTTCCTAGTGTGATTTGTACCCTGTGACTATCGCTAAGTGTTGTACCTTATGATTCTTGATGAATGTATCTTTTTTTATGTACACTGAGAGCATTTCCTTGTTATGTCCAATCACACTTGGCAATAAAGAATTCAATTCTCTATTCTTTGAATCTTTTCACACTACTGAGGCAATTATTGAGGGAAAAATTGGATGTTAGATGAATCTCAACATAACTGTGAGTTATACTTTGAGGATGCCTAATGAATCCAATAAACTAACTTTGCATGGAAGCCTTTCTAGTGTTTAACTGCTAGTCCCGAGCTGTTCCAGGAGCATGGGACGAGAGCACTCCATAAGATGGGATGCAAGTAAGATTTGTGTGTCTTGGTTTCTTGTTACAGATGCTGCAGTTGTGTCAACGGGAAGCGAGGCGGAAAAGACCTATTGGAGAGCCCCCCGTTTGTTCTTTCAGTCCTCCTCTTGTGGAATTTTGGCCTCTTAATTGTGGATCGTATCCTTCACTCTCCGTTTACCTTTCCTGAAGATACTGACCCATTAACCAAATACGAGAGTCGGGCGAAATAAATAACCTCAGTGTGCCTTTAGACCTACCGAATCTGTTAGGGGTTTAGAGCTAGCTGGAATTGTTATTTAAATTGGACAGACCTCTTGGCTGGGAGGAATTTTTTCTAAAGCAGACGGACTTCCTTATATCAATCTCAGATATTCACTTCCAATACAATGGTTTCCTGTTTGGGTTGCTGCTGCTTTCCATTGCACGATTATTCCAGGTGGTGTTTAGTGCGCCCCCCCCTTCCCTTCCTTCATCCCTCCATATCTCTCTCTCTCTCTCTCTCTCTCTCTCTCTCTCTCTCTCTCTCTCTCCAAACACACACACTCCTTGACTTCTTCCTTTTCCTGTTTTCCCCACACCAACTGCGTGCGGTGGGTTGAATAGAACGATAGAGGGACTGGCCCAAAGTCACCCAGCCGGGTTTCATACCTAAAGTGGGACTAGAACTCACCGTCTCCTGGCAATTGACCCAAAGTCACCCAGCCAGTTTTCATGCTTAAGGCGGGACTAGAACTCACCATCTCCTGGTGATTGGCCCAAAATCCTCCAGCCAGTTTTCATTCCTGAGATAGGACTAGAATTCACCGTCTCCTGGTGATTGGCCCAAAGTCCCCCAGCTGGCTTTCATACCTAAAGTGGGACTAGAACTCACCGTCTCCTGGCGATTGGCCCAAAGTCACCCAGCCGGCTTTCATGCCTAAGGTGAGCGGCCTAGAATTTACATTATTTCTACGATAATGAACGAAGAAAGGTAATTCTAGAATCTCGAAAAGCTCCTATGTTGCTTTGTTAAACTCTACACAAGGCCCCAAGTTCCTCATTTCCTCCTCATGCTTTGATGAAGACAATGATTGTTTGTTTATTCTAACTCTTTGCTCTCCTTTTCCGTATCATCATTTCTTTCCAGAAAAGATACTTGGAGGGAGCCTTTCTCTTTGCTATCCTCCTACATTTCAAGCACATCTACCTCTACGTAGCTCCAGCCTACGGCATCTATCTACTCCGATCTTACTGCTTTTCCCAAAATAATCCAGGTATGTTGCTGTACGGCCGTTTCACACAGGGTGTCCTTGACTTACAACAGTTTGCTTAGTGGCCATTCAAAGATACAACCAGTGGTGGGAATCAAATTTTTTTTTTTACTGCCAGTTCTGTGGGTGTGGCGTGGTTTGGTGGGCGTGGCAGGGGAAGGATACCGTAAAATTCTCCATTCCCTCCTCACTCCTGAGGGAAGGATACTTCAAAATCCCCATTCCCTCTTCCCCCCTCCCCCCACTAACCTGCTTTCCAGCTCCGTTCTCCTGTGCAGGGCAACCAAAGAAGACCCAGCCAATCAGCTAGGACTCAATGGGAGGGGGAGAATAGATGGGGGCGGGGCCAGTCAGAGGCGGGATTTGCCAGTTCTCCGAACTACTAAAAATTTCCTCTACCGGTTCTCCAGAACCGATCAGAACCCGCTGAATACCAGCTCTGGATACAACCCCACTGAAAAACGTGATTCCTGATCCTTATTCGCACTTATGACCGTTGCAGCATCCCCCCTTGGTTGCATGATTTCCGTTCTATGGACGCTTGACAGCTGACTCGCTTTTATGACATTACCAAATTTAAGAACTGCCGCGATTCAACTTCGTAACCGTAGCAAGAAAGGTCGTAAAACGGGGCAAGGCCCACTTCACAACTGTTTTGCTTAGCCGCAAAAAAAAATTTCAGCTCAGTTGTTGGTTGTAAGTCAGGGGCTCCCTGTATTGCAGAATGCAAGGTCTAGTTAGAAAGGTGGTCTGATCTGGCACGACCAGGTTTGAAATTGTATCATCATCATCCTAGCTCTCATTGTGTCTAGATGGATCTCTTCGGTGGCGCAGTTTCAGTTTTCTGCGTGTAATCGTGCTCGGATTAATGGTCTGCCTCGTTTCTGCCGTTTCCCTGGGACCCTTTCTGGTCTGGGTAAGGAACCTGTCTGTTTTTTTTTTTTTCTTTTCTGAAAGACCTTTTTACGACCAGTCCTCAAGTTACAGCTTCCTCAATGGAGGCAGTCCTCAATTTGTTCCCAGAATTACGGTCATAAATTGTGCCAGTCATCCAGCTGGCCGTCAAGTGACTAACCTCATTCTGCAACTTGTGTGTGTGTACGTTTTTCAATCTTGGCAGCCATGAGAAAGTGTGCGTGTCAGTTCAGCTGGTTGGGGGATTCTGGGAGTCGAAGTCCACATCCCTAAAATAGGCCACGAAATGACCTCAATGAAATGAAGAGAAGATTAATGGGATTTTTCTCCCCTTTAGGGTCAACTCCCTCAACTTTTCTCTCGCCTCTTCCCTTTCAAACGCGGCCTCTGCCACGCCTACTGGGCCCCAAACGTTTGGGCGGTGTATAACTCCCTTGACAAAATGTTGTCGGTGCTTGGTAGGTATCTTAATCCTTTGGTTTCTTCTGTCTGTCCTCCCATCCAGCCATTTTATTCAACATGGACACCACCACCCGAGATCCAGCCGGGTTACTTAGGCAACCGGCTTTGCCCCGTCGCATCGGCCCTTCCCGCTCATTTAGGAAAGTAATCCTGTGTGCTCTTGTCAGTCAAAAGAATTCCAACTGGCAAGATCTGGGATTTGGTTTGAGCAGAACCTCCCCTCTCTACTAGCACTGATGACATTACCTAGTTTGGTAAGGAAACGTCTGCAAGATAACCGTCAAGCTCAGAGAGCACCAAGGACTCCACAGTCTCCCTTCCCCCTCCCACACACTCACACACACACACACACACACACACACACTCATCATCTTTTAACGGCCCCATAATCCCTTGCGGTGTGGAGTCTGGGCAACTGAATGGACCTGAGCGTTTACTGGCCGGATGCCTTTCCTGCCCCCAGTGCGGAGTTTTGTTCAGCAGATCCCTTTTCGTTGTGCCGGAAAGAGAAATATCTGCCTAGGTTAAAACTCACCACCTCCTGACTGCGAGGGCGAGAGCTCCGCCTCTAAGTCACCGCACCACACACACACACACACACACACACACACACACACACACACACATACACACCTACCTCTCTCCTACCACTGGAAATGCTACTTAGTTGAGTAATGAAACATTTGAAAGAAAACCACCAAGCTCAGAGAGGACCAAAGACCCCCATAAATCGTATTACAGATCGTTTTGACTGGGTGCCCGAGCTCATTAACCTCATTAATTATCCTCTTGGCTCTCCAGGGCTGAGGTATCAATTGCTTGACCCTGCAAAAATACCCAAGGCAGCCATGACAGGAGGGCTGGTTCAGGAATTTCAGCACAGCGTCCTTCCTTCTGTGACCCCACTGGCAACCTTATGCTGCACCGCCGTCTCAATGCTGGTGAGTATAAACCATTGTCCCACCTGTGTATTTTGCTGTCTTTTTTCATTTTATTTATTTTTTTCTTTCCTCTGGCGCAAATCCTGTTGAATTTCAGTACGTTCCCATCTCTAGTGGTCCACAATTTCCTTAAAAAAAATAGCTCTTCTTTGACAAAACTGCCGTGCAGGCAACGCTCAGGTAAAACTTTTCCTAGGCAAGAAGTAGAATAACCATTTAAAAAAAAAAACCCTAAACGTTACTGTGCCCGATTCTTAACAGAGGCATAAACTGTTAAATTGGAAGGTCCTTTTTTTTCCGCTGTGCAGCTAATGCAGATTTGACGTGATGTTAAAGCGTCAGGGTGTCAACTCATAAAATATTTCTATGGTCTTTTTAGAGTTGCCAACAGAAAGGGAGGGAGGGGGAGAAAGGGGGTTTGAAAGAGCAGCACAGCAGATTGGAAAGCGAAAGTGCATTCCATAAATAGCTTTTCAAAGATAAGTCACTAGGCGACTGAAGTTTCTGCCGCGCACAATTCAAACTGGAGAGCCTGATTGATGACTCTTGGCTATGAAGGTGTCCCATTGGAGGATATGAATTATGACACACCCAGTGGGGTGGGGGAAAAGCCAGGGTCAAGGGTGACACTGAATGATGTGTGTCAGAGTCGGGTATACCCCAGGCAGTGCCGGACATGTTAACTCCCAATAAATCCTTTTGAAGTTTTGGCTCTAGACTCAATTATTTAATTGTGGGAGCTGAGATCCAGTCTTGAAAATCCCTAGTCACAGTTAGATTTTCTTCCGTCTAAACCAGGGGTGTCAAACTGGATTTCTTCGAGGGCCAGGTTAGCATTGTAAATTCATTGTCAGGATTCCAGCAGTTACTCCAATTAAATCATGAGCCTCGAGCCACACTCCCAAAACTAACAAGAATTTATTAGAAGTTAACATTCTGCGTCCGGCATTGCTGAAATACGTAATTCACTGTCACCGTTGATCCTGCTTTCCCCCCCGACTCCTCTAGGTGTATCATCCAACGAAACACGTCCATAGCCAAGAGTCACCAATCATGCTCTCCAATTAGGTTTTTCTGTGGCAGAAGCTTCAGTCATCTAATCAGTCTTCGAAGAAAATATGAATGGAATGTACTTTCGATTCCACACTGCTGCCTTCTCTTTGAAACTCCCCCCTTCTTTCTGTTGTCAACTATAAAACGTGTATACAAAATGTTTTATGAGTTGACATGCAGGCCAGGAAGGGGGTGGGAGTTGGGACGGACGGTTCCTGCAGCACTCTGGCAGCTAAAATGGGGCTCGGGGTCCCACGCACAGACCCCAGCACCCATTTTCGGCTTGGACAGCCTGCAGTATTTTGCCGGCCAAAAAGGAGGTGAGGTCCCCCAGCATCCCATTTGGCCACTAGAGGCACTGTGGGCAAGTCCTTAGATATTTCCAGGCCGGCCCCACAAGCCAAGATCTAACCACCCTTGAGTTTGACACCCCTGGTCTAAACTGAATCCTGCTCAAATGATGAGCGTGTATGACGGGCTGTACGAACATTAATTTGGCAAACTCTAGGAGACGGGAAGACATAGGGCCCTGGTGTACTATGGGCCCTGGAGTCGCAAAGAGTCAGGCATGGCTTAGAGACTCAACAACAACAACTGTCAGGGTTCTGGCAGTTACCCCCAATTAAATTGTGAGTCTCGAGCCAAACTTCCAAAACTTCAAAAGGATTTATTAGGAGTAAACATGCCAGCGCTGCCTGGGTATGACCGACTCTGAGACACATAATTCACTGTCACCCTTGACCCTGGTTTTCCCTCCACCCCCCTGGGTGTATCGTAATTCATATTCTCCAATGGGACACCTCCCTAGCCAAGAATCATCAATCATGTTCTCCAGTTAGATATACGTGTGGCAGAAATTTCATTCCCCTAGCTTTTTCGGGCCCGGTTCCTAACAGATCACGGCCCCGGTGGGGTTGGGGATCCCTAGTCTAAAGCCCCCCCTTCCCCCCAAGTTTGAAGGCACCTTTCTCTAGGGCAGGACAGAAAAGAAAGGCCTCCGTTGATTTGATGACCCGCTTGATGGTGGGAGACCCACTGAAGCTCTGTTTCTGCCTGTTGTTTCTAGCCTTCTGTTTTCTGTCTTTGGTTTAAACCCCAAGGGCCCAGAGGATTCCTCAGGTGCTTGGTTCTCTGTGCGCTAAGCTCCTTCCTGTTCGGTTGGCACGTCCACGAGAAAGCCATTCTCCTCGCCATTCTCCCTCTGAGGTAAGAGGGCGGTCACTGCTGACCGTTGTGAGGGGCGAAGGGAGCCGTTGAAACCCTGCATGGCGTAGGGCCAAGCTTCGCCCCGTCGTATCAGCCTGTCCCACGCATTCAGGCAGGGAAGGCATTTTGCAGGCCCTGTCGGTCAAAAGAATCTCTCGGCTGGCAGAGTCTGGGAAGCAGGAGGTCTGCCCTTGCGTGGCGGAACATCCTGCCCTCAGAGGTGAGGAAAGCCTCCCCGTTTATAATTTCATCAGTAATTTAAAATGTTTAATACTAAGTTATTCTGGGGGTAACATTTACTGATTATATAGCACAGAGCCCCTCTCCCAAGGGGAGACAAGCAGTTCAGAAGTCTTGACAGGGGGAGAAAGGGAGAGAAGGCAATGAGCGAAAGAAAAAGAAGGGGAAGGGAGAAAGAAAGAAGGAAGGGAGAGGAAGGAAAGGAAAAAAGAAAGAAAGAAAGAGAAAGAAAGAAAAGGAAGGAAAAAAAGAAAGAAAAAGAAAGAAAGAGAAAAGGAACGAAAAGAAGAAAGGAAAGAAAGAAAGAAAAGGAAGGAAAGGAAGAAGAAGGAAGGAAAGAAAAAGGAAGGGAAGGAAGAAAGGAAAGAAAGAAAGAAAAGGGGGAAGGAAGAGAGGAAAGAAAAAAGAAAGAAGGAGGGAGAGGAAGGAAAGAAAGAAGAAAGGGATGGGAGAGGAAGGAAGGAACAGGGGATGGGAGAGAGAAAGAAAAGAAAGGAGGGAAGGAAAGAAAAAGAAAGTTCTGATCCCAAATACCCACAGACAAATACAGCAAAGTCTGGAATTGGGAATTCTTTTAGCTTTCCTAAGAATCCAGCCCTCCCTCTCCCTTCACTGACTGAGGAACCAGGACAGATCTCTCTGCTCAAACAACCACCAAACTGGACAGAACTGTGAAGCAGCTGGTGAAGAAAATTTACCTGAGGTTTTTCAGCAAGACAGTCCAAAACATACCTCCAAATGGGTCCAAAAGTACAGGTAGTCCTCAACTTCCGGCCATAGCTGAGCCCCAAATTTCAGGGCTAAGCGAGACCGTTGTTCAGTGAGTTTTGCCCCACTTTACGACCTTTCTTGCCAATGTTGTTAAGTGAATCACTGGACTTGTTAGGTTAGTAACACGGTTGTTAAGTTAAATCTGGGTTCCCCATTGACTTTGCCTATCAGAAAGTCACAAAAGGGGAATCACAAAATGCTCAGGTGATCGAAATCCGGGCCCTTGGCAACTGCTTCATATTTAGGACGGTCGCGGTGTCCCTGGGGGTCACATGACCGCCTTTTACGACCTCCTTGAGCAGCAAAGTCAATGGAGAAGCCAGATTCACTTAAAGCCGGGCTGCTGACTTAACAACTGCAGTGATTCACTTAACAACGGTGGCAAGAAAGCTTGTAAAAGGGGAAAGATTCCCTTAACAGCTGTCTCGCATTAGCAACAAAATTTTTGGCTTCAGTTGTGGTTATTTGTCAAGGATTATCTGTATTTGTAGTATCAGTCGACAAGCATGGCATCTTTGAGAGATAAAAGCAGAATCCTTTTTTTTGAAATATTCCTCTTTTTGTATTGTTCCATTCTCAGCTTGCTGTCTGTGGAGAGGTCAAGAGATGCTGGCAGTTACCTAATTCTGTCCACTACGGGGCATTTTTCCCTCTTCCCACTGCTGTTTACCACACCAGGTATATTTCATTTCTTGTGATTTGTAACCGTTTTTTAAATGATTTTGGCCTCCAGTCCCCTAATCATCTTTTTCGCTCTTCTCTGCACTCTTTCCGGAGTCTTCAACACCATTTTTTAAAATTGTGGGCGACCTAAACCGGATACAACATCCCAAATGTGTTCTTACTAAAGCGCTAACAACTTCATGTGATTTTGATTCTATCCCTCTGTCAATGCAACCTAGGACTGACTTGGTTGCTAGTCCCAACACCAGACTGGGTCCAGATTTGCCCTACTATTAATGTTTTGGTAGTGCTTGGATTAAGTCGGTATTTCCGTGTGGAAGAGGATGGATGAGTGGCTAGCCTGAACAAAATCCCACGGCATCGATTTAAGCGGGGCCTCTGCCATTTTGTCTGGGCCGTACATGTCAATCCATGACCAATGAGTCTTAACCCAGCAGGGCATAAGCTCGACATGACACAGGATACCTAAATGGGAATACTCTTTTCCGCAATACATCTGTCATGGAGTTTGCTGCTACAAAATCTTCGTCGTTTTGTCTTTCAGAGCTGCCCATTAAAATACTGCTGATGCTCCTCTTTTCAGTCTACAGCTTCTCCTCCCTGAAGGCCCTGTTCAGGTAAGAAAAATAATTTTACAAATAAAGAGAAAACCTTCCCCGTTATCACGGGATACGGTGTTGCACGCTGTCCCATCTTAGGGCAGTTAAGCTAACAATAAAGGAGAATATTTGTCGCTCCAGGTTGAAATAAGAGGTTCTTGGTAATCTCTGGTTGTTTTCTTAACAGATGTTTCAGCACCCAGCTAGCTAACACCATCAGTGCTAGAAGGGAATGGGGTTGATGAAGAAGAGGAGGAGGACGACGACTATGGGGCCCTCAGGGCTCTCTTAGGTTGCTTGTTTGCTTGCAGACATTTCATCACCCAACTAGGTAACAACATCAGTGCACTGGGTGCATCTGCAAGGAAGCAACCAACCTCAGAGAGCAGCAATAGGATTTGGCTGGCTCAGATGATTATATTGATCGTTCGATTTTGGGCGGCTCTACTTGAAAGTAAAACACCAACGGTGCATTGGGAGGGTTGCAAGAAGTCGGAAGTCCAGTCTACTAGCTTGCTTCCTCGGTGGCAAATCAGAATAGAATCCAGGATAACTGAGTTGGAAGGGAATTTGGAGGTCTTCTAGTCCAACCCCCTTCTCAAGCAGAAAACCCTATACCGTCCCACACAGATTAAAAAGCACCCACACAACTGGTTGCTGCTGGATTCGTTTGGCTTCACTTAAAAGATAAGGGGGCAGATAGCGGTACAGGTAGTCCTCAAATTATGACTGTAATGGAGCCTGCCCATTAACAGTCAGAAGCCTTGAGATAAGTTGTAATATGATCACCTCACTTGATGCCTTCCCTAGCCCCCCGGTCCCCACCCATGTTGTCCCCAATGCAGTTTTTAAGGACAGAACGGAACGCCTTGGGAGTTCTAGCACAGGCCCAGACACTCTGGGCCTCCCAAGGCCTCTTTCACACCCTAAGGCACCCTGTGTTCCACTTCCTGTCCTTCAAAGGCCCTGATAAAGATTATGAATGAATAGTCTTATTCTCTTTCCCCCAAAGATTAGAATAGCCCCCAATCTGATACTCTTCCGGAAGGCGCTGAACACCTGGTTGTGCCAGCGGGCCTGGGGAACGCAGAACAGGATGGAGCCCATTTAAATGGCTCGTGAGATGTATTGTCGCCAGGGTGGAGGGTTATTATTTTATTCATGTACTGTATTATTTGATTATTCTCTTTTCTTGGTTTTCTTGTTTTATATGTGAGGTTTTACCCTGTTTTCCCGAAAATACGACCTGCTCTGAAAGTATGCCTTAGCTTGATTTTTACATGTGTGCCCAACATAAGCCCTATCCCCAAAATAAGCCCTAATTACGATCCCGCCCACTCCAGCATGCACGGGTAAAAATTAAGCTAGGATGGGGATGGCGGGAGGAGCTGCCCTACAACTTACCTTTGGACGGTTGTAGCCAGGCCTCACACACCCCGACACCTGCCTCACCAGCCCATTTCTTCTGCATCCGGCAAGGCTTTCGTGAAAGCCTCTGGAGCTGATAAGAAAGCTCTGGATCGATCCAGAGCTCTGTTACCGGATGCAGAGGCCTTCAGGAAAGCCTTGCCGGCCATAGAAGAATAGGTTCCTGAAGGCCTCTGACAGCGAACAGGGGGGGGGGGGGCAATGCACGCAAGAGAGGTTAGTCATCGATGACGTCCCCTGAAAATAAGACCTGGTGCCTTTTTTTGGTGGCAAAAAAA